ACTCATACTCATACTCACACTCACACTCATACGCACACACACACACACACACACACACACACACATATATACACGTATTTACATACATATATGCCTATATGTGTGTATGTGGTTAATGATTAAAACAAATAATTGCGCTAGACATCAAAGATCATATAGCACAACCGTAAGGCATTGTGACGAAAAGGGTAAAAAATGAGTTAACGATTAGAATAAGTGGACAGAAGGGGGTGAGGCAGAGAAGGAAAAGCAAAGGGGGGAGAAGAAAAGAGCATGCAAAATTAGCGGAGGCGAAAGCTGAGGTCTAAGGTAGGGGTGATCCACTACACTGGGCCTCAGTCTCCGCTTCCTAAGCCCCCCTCACATATATATATGTATGTATGTGTGTGTGTGTGGGGGGGGTGCGTGCGTGCGTATATGAGAAAATTCTTTAAAGGTAATCAACACAAAAGATGGATTTTGAAATATCATTTGACACTACACGGACATTCTAAAGCAAGTCTTTCCATTTAAATCGATATTGTGGTGGTACTAAGTATTTTATTTTATTTCGGTACTGGCAGCCAATCCGAGGGCAGGGGGGGTCACTCCCTCTGCCACAGTCGTCGTTACTGGCCATCCATTCTGCTTTTTTTTCCACTCTCTCATTGTAACCTCATTTCGTTCCTATGTCTAATGTTTACTGCATAGTTACCTCAAGGGAAATACATCCGTGGAATAATTATCTCCTGATACCAAACGCTGACTGTTTTCTAATAGTTGTACTGTCACATCTCGATTCCTGTCGGTTTTTGATTCAACGTATATGTATGCAAATGAAAAGACACTTAACGTCCACTGCCATTTTTTTATTACTTGCATGCGTTACGTGCCTATTTATTTTTTGTGCATGCGTATTTTTGCATAAAACTATGAAATTTGTGTGCGCGTGTGTATGTTTGTGTATATATATTGTATATATGAGTATTTATGTATGTATGTTTGTATGTATGAATATATGTATGTATATATGTACGTACGCATATATGTATATATGCATGTGTATAGAGATATATAATGAATATATATATATAATATATATATATAATATATATACACACACACACACACACACACACACACACACACACACACACACACACACACACACACACACACACACACATATATATACACACACACACACACACACACACACACACACACACACACACACACACACACACACACACACACACACACACACACATATATATATATATGATGTATATAATACACACACACACACACACGCACACACACACACACACATATATGATGTATATG